GTTAGCCTGGCTGCTAACAGAAAGGCTGGTGGTTCGAACCCACCATCTGCCTACAGTCTCAAAAAGATTGTTTTGTTGTTGTTAAGTGCCATCGAGTCAGTTCCGGTCCACAGCGACTCTGTATAGGGTTTCCTAGGAGAATTTGAACTGCCAACCTTGTGGTTCAAACCAACCTTGCAGTCCAGTACATTAACCCACAGTGAGGACTCCCTCAAAAAGATTACAACCAAGAGCCTTATGAGACAGTTCTACTCCGTTTGCTTGGATCACTGTTTGAGTCAGAATTGATTCAACAACAGTAAATGCACAGCACTATGCTCAAGATAGCTCTGGTAGTGTAGTGGTTACAAGTTGGGCTGCTAACCTCATAGTTAGCAGTTCAAAACTACCAGCTGTTCCACGGGAAAACCACCAACCTTTCATAAGGCATGTATGGCCCACCATGGGCCTTGGACAGTTTGCTATTGATGCAAACTAGACTGTATGGAGCATGGTGGCTCTGTAAGATAAGCACTGGATTGCAAACCTCAAGGTCGCTGGTTCGAGTCCACCAGGTAACTCCATGGGGAAAAAGATGAGGCTTTCTCCTCCCACAAAGATTTACAGCCTCGGAAACTTATACAGGGTTGCTATGAGTCAAGACCGACTTGATTGGACTTAACAGGAACAACAAAATGAACTCATGGAACCTACAAATAAAGTATACAGAACCCTAACAAAGGGATTGATCGGTTTTACCATCCTGGGAGGCATAAAATGAACCATCCCAGAGGAAGAAAGGGGGCAGGCAGCTCACAACCACCAAGAAAGAAGAGCCAGTCAGGAGTGGAGCATATCCTTTGGCCTCAGGGTCACTGTGGTAAGAACCTCCTAAAAGGAGGAGACAGATAGAGTTGTCACACTGGAGATAACAAGAAACAATGAGAAGCAGTAGCAGAGAAACAGTGGCAGCAGAGGAGGAAGAACCAGGAAACCAGTAGGAGATAGCATCCACAAGAGAAAGCTGAGCACCTTTAGGCAAGAGGCTTGCTGGCAGAGTTCAGTGCCTCCAGGCATTTACTGGCAGAGCTAGAACTTTGTAACACTTCACCAAGAGTGGCAGATGGCCAGAGAGGCCTGCCTGCAGGTACCAATAAGAAGCTATCCTGTCCAAACAAAGAACTCTGAGGCATTTCTGATCCTGGCAAGACCTGGGGACTCTTGGGTCCAGTGTCAGTGACACAGCCACAGAAGACTAGAGTGGAGAGTGAAGCATCCAGCTGATAAGAAGAGAGGGTACATGCATAAGAACACCCACACTTGCAGATAATACCCATTTATCCTGGCTTCAGTGACTAGATGATCAGAGCTCAACCAGAAGTAAAAAGAAGAGGGAAAAAAAAAAAGGTATTCTCATACAATTTGATGAACTTGACCTACACCTATGGAAGCAGTAGCTCAAAAGAGGGAACAAGTCCTTACAGCAAGAATCATACCCACCTCCACCACACACAGAGTAGACAGGGATGGGCAACTTGGACATTGGCTACCCAAAATGGGGGGCAGGGGGCTACAAAGGCAAGAAGGGACTAGCTTACAAGCTTTCAAGAGGGAACCTAGATCCAGAGGGCCTGGAGGAAGGTAGAATCTCCAGTGAATAGTATTCAATCCGACTAGGCAGGGCTGATGCAATGAAATACAGATGGATCTCTTGTGATACAATATTGAATAATTGTTATCAGGACTGATTGTGAGGGTTGGAAATGTAAAGGTAGATGTTTTATAGCAAGGAGGGGAGTGATTAACTTTTCAGTCTAGGAGCGAGGTCCCTAGGACCATCAAGGAGAAGAGCAGAGAGCGGGACCCTATCCAGAGAAGCAGTGATGCCTGAAATGAAGCCAGAGATGACGACGTGGAGCGATGGAGCAGCTGGAGACTTCAGATCCAGAGAGGGAGAGCGACTGTGTGCTGAAGACCTGGGAGGCACGGGGGAAGGATTGCATGGAGGGGATTATAACCATGGCAATGAGACAATATACGATAGAATGAATGTAAAACTAATGTTCTCCCATGTAAACTATCACAAAATTCACAATAAAACATAAAAAAATAAATGACTAAAACAGAGATTTCCTAAGCAGAAGAGTTTCAAATCACTTATATTCTGCCTTCAAGGAGGCAGAACTTAACTCTCCATTCCACAAGCATGGAAGAGCCCCAGGAGCATAATGGATTATGAGCTGGGCTGTACAGGGTCACTATAAATTGGAACCAACTTAGTGGCACACAACCACCACCATCTTAAATGTGAGATGTGCCTACTGTCCTTCGACCAAAGAGCACAGCATAGAAAGGGGACAAAAGACTAACTTTATGGTGGCGAAACAAAAAAAAAAAAGAACACACTATCTCTGCCAGGTGATTGAGGTCAACATAAATCATGCTGATAGCATGTACCCTTGATAAAAAGAGAATGGCATCTTATCATGTGATCTTCTTCCCAAAATCCATACCAAGGTACTTAACAATCTGTAAAAGAAAGAAAAGTCAGACAAATTCTAATCGAGAAGCATTGGACAAAATATCTGACCAGTATTCCTCAAAACCTTCCCAAAAACAACCTCTGTCTCCACGAAGCTGAGACCAGAACTAGATGGTGCCCAGCTACCACGGCTGACCTCTCTAAAAGAGACCACAATTAGAGGTCCCAGATACAGTAGGAGAAAAATGAGGAGAAAAATTCAGATCATAAACAAGACCAGACTTACTACTAGTCTGAAACAGATTGGTGGAACCCCTGAGACAAGGGCATTTAGTTACTCTCAAGCCTGGAACCGAATTGACCTCCATGGCTCAACTTTCAGTCAAATCATAGACAGACCTATAAAAACAAACAATAGTATCAGGAAAGTATGCACTCTTTAGAACAATCTACCATATGAGATGTAGAAAGCAGCATCTGCCCAGGGATAAAGTTCAACAGACAGGAAGGTATGTTGTTGTTGTTGTTGTTAAGTGCCATGGAGTTGATTCCAACCCATAGTGACCCTGTATAGGGTTTCCAAGGAGCAGCTGGTGAGCTTGAACTGTCGAACCTGCAGTTCAAATGGCTTTGTAGTGTGACACATTAGCCCACAGAGCCATACCAGGACTCCACAGGAAGGGATAGGAAAGGAGAAATGGAAACAGGAAAAAGGGAGGAAGTGGGAAAAATGTTGTTACACTGTGGAGATTGCAATCGATGCCACACAACAAAATGCATTATGAAGTGTTAAATGGAAAACTTCCATTTTGCCCTATAAACTTTCACCCCAATAACAACAAAAAGTTTTTTTTTTAATATCAAAACAAAGAAAAGTCTGAGAAAATAATTTACAATAGAATAACTGTTGTTGTTAAGTGCTGTGGAGTCGACCCATAGCGATCCTGTATTCAGGGTTTCAAAGGAGCAGCTGGTGAGCTTGAACCACCAACTTTGCAGTTCAGGTGACTTTGCAGTCTGACACATTAGCCCACGGCACCACAATTAATTACTGGTTAATTGAAAGGACAACATCTGACCCAAAGACAAAGTTCAGAAGGGTTAGAAAAGAAGGAAGGAATGGAAAGGAGAAATACAGAGAGTATAAGGGCTAAGTGATGCTACGTAGTGGGGATTGCAATCAAGAACATGAAGCAGGGTGTATGAATTGTTGAACAAAAAGCTGATTTCCTCTAGAAAATTTCACAATAAAATGTTTTTAAAAGTCACATCCTAGAGGAGCCTAAGGAAGCATGACAACTAAATGTAATGTGCTATCCTAGATGGAACCCTGGAACAATAAAAGGAAATAAGGTTAAAAAACAAACCCACTAAGGAAATATGATGAATTTAAAGTGTGGGTGTCAGTTAATGCATAAATATTGGTTCATCAATTGTGACAAATGTACACATATTAATGTAAGACATCAATAACACATAAAACTTTGTGTGTGGCATTTGCAAACTCTTTGTCCTAACATTATGATTTTTCTGTAAATATACTCTAAAATGAAATTTTCTGTTGTTTTAACGTGGATGCTGGGAGTGTCTAGGCTAAAAAACGAAAGAACATACAGTACCTGGTAATTCACTGGCAAAAGATAGGGATGGGATGGGGGAGGGATGGAGAGTAAAAGCTACACAGGTAACAAAGATGAAAGGTTAACAGCCCACGTTTCAGGCTAGGCAACCGGATGGATGGTGGAGTTATTTACTGATAAGAACAGTGGAGGAGAACCAGATTTGGAGTTGTTAACAACCAACATTTTCTTGGGGCTCATTTTGTATCAGGCGTTTTACAAACCTTATCTCAAATTCTAACGATCATTTTTCAAAGACTGTAGGACCAGCACTGTAGAGATTATGATCCCGTTTACAAAGATACAAAAGACTGAATGGGGTTCAAATGACTTGCCCACGGCCAAATAAACTGGATTCTTGGTTATGAGTTTACATGTATTCCAAAGGCCGCGCTCTTTGCACTGCACATTTCTTCCTTCCTGTGCACATTTATTCCTCTGGTAGCCAGAGCACCCCCAGCTACAGCTGAGGCTCTCCACTAGATGTCGAGTGCATCAGCACCGTCTGCCAAATGATCATCTCCATCTCTGAAGTTGTATGCAGGAGAGGAGGTATAAACTTCATTAGGATGAAGACAATTAAATACAATCGAAGGCGACTGCAACACCTTTCAGAGGGTTTTTGAAAATAACACAGGGAAAATTCTCTGGTTCGATTATCGGAAAATGGTCTGAAAAAGGAAAGGAAATCCACCGGAAGGGGTCAAGTACGGATAACCGGCCGCGAGTGCTCTCACGCATCCCGACCCCAAACCCTCAGATTTGGCAGGACCACCCACCCACCTAGCCACCCCCAAAAAAAGCCTGCTGGGTCGCCCGAAACCACACGGCACAAGGTGACACGGACCGCGCCGGCCCCTCGGTCGCCTGGGAAAGGCAGGGACGAAGAGGGAGAGGAGCGTCCATAGAGCCTGTGCTACCTTGTACTTATCAAAACCGGCCAGCTGCTCCGGGCTCACGTATTCGTAGCTAGCCATCGTGACGACCTGAAAACCGAGCACACACTCGGCAGCAACAATCCGCAACAAGGTGGCGAAACACGAGCAAGGCTCCAACTGAGCAAGGGTGGGAAGGGCTGGGCAGGCGAAGAGGAGCCGCGCTCCGCCCACCGCGCACGCGTAACCGCCTAGGCCATTTCCGCCGCCTCCCAGTGCGCAAGCGCAGCCTTCACGCCTCACCAACCCCCGCCCCGGGAGAGGGTTGCTAGCTGGCTCTCACGGCCCGCCCCACTACGCCTTGATAGTCCAATCGGCGTAGATCAGGCAACATTAAGTCCCGCCTTCCGGGTCTCCTACTTGCTTCATTTGCCAGCGTCAAAATTGGTGAGCTGAGGTAAGGCAAGAGGAGAGGTGAAAGGTCAATTTCCCAGTGGGCCTTGCGCCTCATCCTTTGAACAGTTGGGTATTTATATGGTATGATCATCTGGGTGGAGATTTGGGCACATTCTGTTATTGCTGTAGTGGGATGATTGCATGTGAACCAGTTCAGCGGCCCTTCTGAAAAGGGCTTCAATTCCTTAAGTGGAGTGAAATAAAAGAGTAGAGAAAGGGTCTATGCTAAGTGTTTGGCACAGTACGCCGCTAGAAGTGAAGCTTAATGCACAGGATTTGCTGTAGGAAGGCTGCTGTGCTGCCGGGACCAGAGGGAAACTGGGCAGGAGCTTTATGCATTCAATAAAGGGACTTGAAAAGCGCAAGATAAAGGACATTGAAAATAAACGCCTCTGGCCAACGTCATTTGTGAACTTTCGACTGTCTCATTACACTCTATTCTATCAAATCATCATAAGATTAATGCCTCCTGACAGATAAAACAGTCTCTTAACCTCTAAGACCCTAGTGCCAGTCTATAGTAGAACTGCCTCATAGGGTTTCCAGAGTGTGGGTTAATGCACTAGACTGAAATCTTTCAACAAACCTCAAGGTCTGGACTTTAAGCTCTCCAGCTACTCCTTGGGAACTCTATACAGGGTCGATATGGGTTGGAATGACTCAACGGCACTTTACAACAACAATCTTTAAGGAGGACTCCTGGTGTGGCACTGTGGCACTGGACAGCAAGATCGGTTTGAATCGCAGGTTTAGCGATTCAAACTCCCCAGCCGCTCCTTGGAAATCCTATACAGGACGGCTACGAGTTGGAACCCACTCGACAGCACTGGTGTGGCATTGTAGGATCAGGACTGGACCGTTGGCAGTTCAAACCTACCACCCGCTCTTTGGAAACCCTATATAGAGACGATGTGGTCAGAACTGACAGGATAACACTTAACAAAAACAACCTTTTGCTGAGCTCCCTTTAGGCAGAGAACTTTACATACATTATGAACAACACTTATAACTCTATGACTTGAAGGCATTGCCTGCTTGAAGGTTGTTGAGTTGTTTAATGTCATTGAGTAGGCTCTGCTCATAATGACCCTGTATATAGGGTTTCAGAGAAATAGCTAGTGGGTTTGAACCACTGACCTTGAGGTGAGTAGCCCAGTGCTTATCCTACAGTACCACACCAGAACTCCCCCTTGGAGAGTGTTAAGTGCCACTGAGTTGGCAACGACTCATAGCAACCCTGTATAGGGTTTCTGAGGAGCAGCTGGTGGGTTTAAACTGCCCACCTTGCCACACCAGGCCACTAAGAAACTGAAATTCACATTGCCTAACTTTCTCAGGGTTATTAAGTTACACAAGTAGGAAATGGCCAACCCAATACAGAATGAAGGATGAATATCCAAAGCCTCTGCCTCAGGGAGTTTCTCAATCTATCTGGGTCACTTAAGGCCAATTATTTTGAGATATCTTTAATTCATTTGATTTATTCATTCAATTTTTATTGAGAATAATGCAAGCACATTATTTCTGCATGTGTTTTATCTTGCCTACCAAATTGTAAGACTCTTATGAGGTGGTAGATCTAAAGGAGTCCTGGTGGCACCATACTTGTATGCTAACCAAACAGGTCAGATGTTTGAAGCCATAGGCTGCTCAGCAGGAGAAAGATGTGGCAGTCTGCTTCCATAAAGATTGCATCCTTGCCAGCTGACATTTGACAAGGATCAATGGCGAAAAGAAAGTATATAACAAATGCTGCTGGCAAAACTGGATATTTATTTGCAGAAGAATATTAAATAAGTTCATATCTTATACTATATGCAAAAATGAACTCGATGGCTCAAAGATGTAAATATAAAAGCTAGAACCACGAAAACTGCCAATGAAAAATCTAGAACCATAAAGATTGCCAAATTAAAAAAAAGGACTCTGATACATGGTGTAAATATACTATCAAACTTAACAAAACACAAACAGGAGAAGACAAACTAGATAAGTGGGATATCTAAAAAATTAGACACAATGTGCATCAAAAGATTTGACAAAAAAGAATCAAAATAGAACCCATAGATGGGGGGGGGGAGTAATTTGACAATGACAATGACATATCAGACAAGGGGTTAATCTCTAACATTTATAGAAACCTTTGACAACAAGAAAAAGACAAATAATCCTATTTAAAAATGGGCAGAGAGCATGAACTTCACCAAAGAAGACATTCAGACAGGTAACAAATATATCGCTAACCATTAGAGATAAAAATCAAACCAATAATGAAATATCATCTCATCCCAAGATTAATTGTTGTTGTGTGCCATTTTGTCGATTTTGACTCATAGTAACCATGTATGTAGACCATGAGTCTGTTCAAATAGAACAAAGTGACACTGAATGGTTTAAAATCTGGAAAGGTGTGTGTCAAGGTTATATTGTATTTTTTTCACCATACTTACTTAATCTGGTGTTTCCAAGACTGGCTAGTGAGTTTGAACTGCTGACCTTAACGGTTTTTTTCAGATTTTTTCATTATTTTTTCTGATTTTTGTTGTCGTGTATTAGTATAAGATTTCTCTTCAGGTTCACTAATTTGGGCTTCCATTATTTCAAATCTACTTCTTTGCCCTTTCAATTATTTGTCCATTTCTGAAATCTTAGTATTAATCTCGTGGACTTCTAATTACAGGTTTTGTATTGTTTCAAAATTTGCATTTATTTTGTCTGTTTGTTCTTGTAGTGTTTTCCTGAATTCTTCTAAAGTTTTTTTCTGTGTTCTCATTGATTTCCTCTTTCTGTCAATCTGTTGAAGGTACCTAAATATCATTGCTTTGAATTCCTTTTCAGTTTATTCCATGACGTTTTCTTCCTCAGAAATGTTTTCCAAGTTATCATCTTAATCATTTATTTGAGCCGTTCTCTTTTGTTTCTTAATGTGAGCTAAAATAGCCTATTGTCTCCAGAACATTGTGGTGTTGTCATATTTGTATTTAATTGATGATTTTATGTGGATATGTTATAAAAGCCCCACCAACTGTCTCCTATAGGTACAGCTAGAGAATGTGAGTATATGTATTCTTCTTTGTTTGCCGTTTATGTATCTCAGTTTAAGGTGAGTTTGGCTGCTGTATATGGCCGGTCAGGTAGTATTGGGACTGGTATTGGCTCATGTCCCAGTAGGTGGAGCTGCAAAGGGCATAGTTGTGCCTTCAGTGTATGGGCATGGTTGCTTTCTCTAATCGGGTTTGAAAAGAGAGAAACCTCTCCCCAACACACACACAAGAAAATAAAACAATAAACAACCACTACTTATGAAAAGATATAATAATAAAAGAGAAAAAGAAATCAAAACAGGCAGCAAACAGAAAAAATAATATAACTGAAACAGAAAAAAGGAATAGGGAAATGGAGCTATAGAAGAGAAAACAAGAGGAAAAAAAATTTTTTTAAAACACTTAGAAAACCCAGGAAGAGGTAAGATGAAAACTAAAGTGAATAGAGAGTAGTAAAAAAAGATCAATAGGGGGGAAAAAGACGAGGAGAAATGAGAAACAGAAGAAAAGAAGTAAAAACAAAAGTGGAGGTCATCAGGATAAAATTCAAGGGAATGGAAAGATAGAAAGAAGGATAAGAAAGAATAAAAAAAAAAAAGAAAGAAAGAAAGAAAGAAATCCCAAGTAGCTGTTGGAACTGGAAAGGAGAAAATTCTAAGGCTGTTCCTGCCAGGCAAGGTGCTCATGAGGTGGGTTGGGTTGGGGAGGGATGTGACATTGGAGTTCCTGGCCCTAGATGGAGTGTTCCTAAAAGCCTAGGTGTTGCTTTTGTTCAGGGTACTAAATGTGGAAGTAGTTCCTGAAGGCCCTTGATAGAGCTGGTTTCAATGTCTGTTAAAACCACAGAGCAACTAGGGGCAGGATGGCTAGTTCTGAGGGTTTCTGCCAGACTAGTGCTGGTATGGTGACTCTGTGGGTCCTGTAGGTCTGAAGCTGAACCTGCCTGAATCCAGGAACCAAAGCAGCACAGCCGACCCTGACCTCATGCTGGCATGTCTCACAACTATGGGACTCCAAACTTCTGAGACCATGGACTGTGCTGGGGATGGAAGAGGATGAGAGCTGGCCACACCAGGGGACTGTGGGGAAAAAGAAGGAATAGCATCTTTTCTGTCATCTGTGTAAATCTGCTTGCCAGGCCACCTTTCGTTGCCAAAGCTGCTCACAAAAGTTCAAGATGGTCACGCCACATCTGGCCATTTATTCACCACTTAGTCTCCCCCTCTTGCCATCACAGCTCCTCCCAGTAAGCACTCAATCCACTTCTTGAACCTTTCCTCTGAGGTTTAGTGTGCCAGGATTTTCATCTGTGTTTGTTTCATTTGGTCTCTCAGATCTTTGTTATAGGTCTATGTAGTGTGTCTGCCTAGCCTTCCATCTTGCTGGAAATGGCAAAAACATTTTTGAACGAACTTTTAATTTTATGAAAGCAGTTACAGTTTCCTCTCTCTTCTGTAGAAAGTTGTAATAAGCTTGAATCAATTATTATTAGCCCATATGATAATTTCCAAGCTAAAACACAACGCAGAGATTTGTTTACACTTTGGCATTTGTCCTTAATGGCTCTGTCATCCTAGACAAGTTGCTTTATTTAGCCTCAGTATCCTCTTTTCAAGAAGAGAATAGTAGATTAAGTCTCTAAACTCCTTTTCATTTCTCAAATTCAATGATATTATAAATCATTTAATTTATAGAAAATG